CTGTGCTTGGAAAGTGGAGTCACCATGGGGATTATTGTGTGTGGGGAGTCCCCAGGCGTGGGGTCTGATTGGACCCTTGCCCGGCTTATTTGTTCATGAAACGTGAAAGGACCTATTACCAACACCAACGATACCTTTTGCATGTAAGTTTAAAAACACTGCAAGCAACTCTGATGTTTTTTATTACATGAAACAATGAGACGGGCTAAGGGGTGCAGAGGGAAGCCCCGCATAGCTGTGGGTGTTTCAAGTGGATGCAAAAAGTCTGTGATTTCTACTCAAAAAATTCTGCGATTTAGGGCTTCCCATTCTTTTTTCTTTTTTTGTATCCCTGTCTAAATGCTTATAGACATCTCACTAATTTACAGCCTTTCAAACACCATTTTTATTTTTCTTGCAGGGAAATCTCTTTTCTAAGCAACTGGTAAATATTAGCTCGAATCCTAACACCCACTTGATTTCTGATTTGGGTCAGTTTTATAAGTCACCTTTGTTTTTCTCCTTGACTTTGCTTATCTTTCCTGGAGCTGCTCTCTCTAAATCACCCTTGCTTGGATTGCTTTCCAATAATCAGGGCCCTGGGCCATGCCATTGATATAGGAGGCTGCATTTTGAAGACAGCAAAACGGCAGTTAGTTGTGGATTGTGGAGACATGGGGGCTTTACTGTCCTGCATCCCACTGATGGCGGACTTCTGGGCCAAGATGGATGCCCAGCTTGTGGATCCTGTCGTTTTGAACTCTTCAAAAAGTAGTATCAACAAGAGGCCCAAAATCGCCTGGGTCAATGCACAGAGGGGGCTGCAGAAGTCACGCCTCTGGGAACAGCTGTCTGCAGCCCACGTGGGATACAATGAGTCTCTCCTGTCCGCAAGAGAAACCTCGCTCATCTTCCTTCAGATGTGACATCCGTCTTCCCTGAAAAGTGCCACTGGTTTTCTGGCTAACCCATAAATGCCCACACCATGCCCCTATACCTGATCTTTTCTAAATTCCATATCTAGTAGTATTTTCTTTAGCTAGGTTTCAAAATATTAGTTAGGCGATAGTTTTATTATGATTAGAATTTTGAGAACCTGTCCTTTTTCCTTCAACATGAACACATCTTAAGGTTATTTTTGCAAACTTAATGCAATGAATAATCTCATGCATTTTACTTGTTTAATTTTTTTACAGGGGGGGTAATCATCTCACTCCCAAATGTAAATTATTTGGGAGACACGGTCTCCCAAAAGACTGTCCCAAAGTACTGTCTCAAATAGTTCTGATATCCAAATACGTGATTGCGTATGCAGGAAAACCACAGAAGTCTCCATAAGCATTTCTAGAACTAGTTAGCATTTTTAGGCTCATCTCAGCATCGATATACAAAAGTCACTCACATTCTCTAGTACCAGCAATGAGATATTGAACTTTGAAAATTTAAAAATACCACTCATAATAGCACTCTAAAATATAAAATCATTTGAACAAAGTTAACAAAATTCATGCAGAATCTATGTGCTTACAACTAAAAACTATGGAAAGTAAACAAGACCTTAAAAATGGAACAATATACTGTGTTTATGAATTTATGATACAGTATTGTTAAGATACAAATCCCCCTCAGTGTATACAGTGGAATTGATGCAATTCTAATAAAAATCCCAAGGCTTTTTAAAAAAAATTTACAAGTTGCTTCTAAACTATACACAGAAATACAAAGGAATAGAATAGTCAAAACACTTCTGAAAAAATTAAAATGGAAGACTCACACTGCCAATGTCAAGACTGCATAAAAGGTACAGTAACGCAGAAAAGAAAGAACACGTACTGTTTGAGAACAGAAGTAGGCACACCAATCAGTGGGACAGAATAAAGAGCCCCAAATAAACCCATACAATATAATCAACTGATTTTTGACACAAATGCAAAACCAATTCGATGGGGAAGGCCCAGTCTTTGCCAGAGTGATCACGATGACTGTATTCGGGATAGCCTGCCTGGCCTCAGTGTCAGCCACTGCTGGCCCCTGACCCCAAAACGAACTCACATGGAATGGCAGGTGTTACTGCACAATGCAAAACTATCAAATTTCTTTAAAAAGTAGTATGATCTCAGGCTTTGCAGAGTTTTTAGATATGATGCTAAGAACACAGTCCATAAAAAATAATGTATTGGGCTGTGGCTGGTGTAGCTCAGTGGATTGAGCGCGGGCCTGTGAACCAGAGTATCGCGGTTTGATTCCCAGTCAGGGCACATGCCTGGGTTGCAGGCCAGGTCCCCAGTAGGGGGCGATTGAGAGGCAACCACACATTGATGTTTCTCTCCTCTTTCTCTCTCCCTTCCCCTCTCTCTTAAAATAAATATATAAACCCTTTGAAAAAATAATGTATTGGGCTTAACCAAAATTAAAAATGGCTTGACCGTTTCTTACAAAGTTAAACAGACACTTACAAGATAAACCCAGCAATCCTGTTGCTAGGTCTTTATCCCAATGAGTTGATGCCTTTCGTTCACACAGAAGTGTGTGTAAGCACTTTGAGAGCTTTATTCACAATTACCAGGAAACGGAAACAACCCAGCTGTCCCCGGATGAGTGCATGTTAAACAAACCGCATTACTCTCACACGATGGACTACTGCTCGGTGATGATCAAAAGTAATGAAGTGATTAACATAACGGCATGGATGGAGCTTGCGAGCATTTTGCTAAGTGAGAGAGGCCAGCTAAATAGTCTACATGTTGTATGACTTTCTTTGTAGATGACTTACTGTGAAAAAGAAAACTATGAAGAGAGGTGACAGATCTGTGTCCCTGGGACCCGGGTGGGGGACATTCGATTATACAAGAGCACGTGAGAGAGGGAAACATTTTATCTTCTTGGTATTCTTTGCCAAACGTCAGCCTCATCATGAGAAAACACCGAATAAATGTAAACTACTGGACTATTGAACACCTGGAGGACACATTTCTTTTTAATTATTTCTTTAGAGCTTTACTTCCCCTTTTTTCCATAAGGTTACTATAATTTGTTGATTTAAATAACATGTAGGCTTTCATCCTTTTGTTATCTGGAGATATTATAACTTGAACATCTTCTTGGTATCTGGAGAAATTATAATTTTATCTCTCTTATTCCAGATATTGATAGGTTGTGCCTTCTTTAATTTTTACTTGACTGATCTGAATAGAGGTTTATCAGTCTTATTGATCTCAAATAATAAGTATTTCTGGTTTATAGTTCACTGATTTTCCCTGTGACTTCTATTATGTCTCCTAATGTATTTGGGTTTTACTTGCTCCTCTTTTTCTATTGCAGTTTGTTGAGGTTGCCACGGAAGTAATTGGTTAGGATCTTCATTCAATTCCGGTATTAATGTTTAGCGGCGTAGATTTCTCCTTAAGCGCTGCTCTGGCTGATCCCACCCGATCCCGTGGGTGAGTATATGGGGGCCCTGCGGCGGCCAGTGCTGGACAACGGGAGCACCGTGGATGCCCCCTCACGTCTACGGAGGAGTCCGCTGTGACCCCGCTGTGTGGCCGGGTTCCTTCTGCCCGTTTTCCGAGCCGGGCTCTGTGCTCCCCGGCAACGCTGAGTCCCAGTATCCCGAAGGATTTCCTGGCTCAGATCGTGGTGAGAAAACCTTGAACTTCCTCAGGAGCCAGAATGAGCTTAGAGAGGAGGAAAATAGTCTTTTCATATCTTGCATTCCGTATAGGCCTCAGCAGGGAGGCTTTCTAAGGGACAGTATCAGATACTGCAGTTTATTAATAAATAATGTGATCCCTGACCTTAAAATATTATGCCTTGCCAAAGAAAGGCATTTACATGAAATAAACGCAATCTATACGATGGAATAAAATCAAATGCTGAGAGACTGGGTCACTTGTGAAGTCTTCCTGAAAGAGATGGGGCTGTCGTTAATTCCAGAAGGATGGGCAGGGGATGGCACTTTGGGAACAGGGACACTGGACATTCACGGACCTGAGGCCACTCTGACCCAAGGAGTGTGGAGAACAGAAACCAATGAGAGGAACCATTTGAATAGTTCAGAGGGAATATATTATTCAGGTCTGCCCTCCGATCAGAAATAGGGTAATTCTGTGTTTCCCCAATTATCTTGCGTTTATCTTGTCCTTTGTTTAAAGTGAAACAATTTTAAACAGTGGGCCACACATCTTTTGCCAGGAGCGGTTTGAGAATTCAAGTCTGAATCAGCCTGCTCCCTGGCTCTGTGCAAACATCTCAGACATTCTCTCTAGGGCCTAAGGGAGCAAAGCCTGAAGTCAGTTCCAAAATATGTCCATTTGCATTCAATTTTGCCACTATTTTTGGAACTTAGGGTTTTTAAAAAATAAAAAGCTAACGACTAATCACAGGTTTGCAGTGGCAGAGACTGAAGATAATTTCTTGGTGGCAGGGACCGGTCCTGCTCCCTGATTCTAGCTCAAGAACGCCAAGAAGGCTCCCCGTAGTAAAGTTACACTTGAACGTGGCTGAAAATAGCTTTTCAATCCAACTTCCCTGTCTTGACAGTGAAATGACCACACAATCCGGTCACTGGGTCAAAAATCAATTCCGAAACCGAAAAGAGCTTTTCACGTCTTTTAGTTTTTCTGCACTCGTCTTAGTGAAAGAGTCGAAAGACACGCCGAGAAGAAAGGCCACCATTAAAACACAGGATCGGCCTTTTCCCTGGGCCGGACAGCCAGGTTGGCCGCCTCCCAGCCTCGCCGCGGGTCCGCAGGGTTGTCGGGTCGCCAAGCCGGGACCCCCACGTGTGCGCGCGCGCGGAACCCCTCGCTGGGCCGCGAGGAGCCGCGTCGGGGCCGGGGCGGTGCCAGGGCGCCCACCCGCCGCTGCCTTCCGTGGTCAGCGTCCCTCCCCGCGCCCGCGCGCAGTCCGCGCCTCCGCGGCCCCGGGCCAAGAGGGACGAGCCGGGCGACAGTTCCGCGTCTGCGCGGCGGCCGAGGGGCTGGAGCGGGCCGGGAGGCCGGGCTGCGCGGGAGCCAATGGGCGCGCTCCGGGGCCTGGATTGCGGCGGCGGGTGGCGGGCGGCGGGCGCGCACTGTCGGGATGGAGGGCGAGCTCCCCGCGGCTCCCGAGCGCTCCGCGGGCCTCCCGGCGGGGGACGGCGGCGGGGACAGCCCCTCCGCCCTGCTGCCGGCCGAGGTGCTGGACCTGGACGGGGACGAGGACGACCTGGAGGTGTTCAGTAAGGTGAGCGCGGCGGCGTCCCCGAAAGTTCCCGTGCGCCCCGCGGGCTGGAGGTGGGTGGGTCCGGCCGCCGGCGCTCCCTCCTCTGCCTGCACTTTGACCTCCCTCGGGGCAGGGCTGTAGCTTCATGGAGTTTGCAAAGTTGTGATTTGTCCCTTGGATCTGCTCTTTCCTTCTCCGACGTGGACTTCTGGGGACAGTGCCCAAACCGGGAGGCGGTGGCCCAGAGTGCCCCGCCCCTAGCAGCTTCTTTTCAGGCGCAGCCAGCCTGATTTAGTGTCGCTGGTAGTGGAGTTGCGACCCGGAGACACCCGAGGTGCGTCTGAAGTCTGGCAGGAATTGGTGCCACGGAGTCCCCTGTTCTCGAGCAGCCGGTTCGGGGCTCCAATAGGAAGCTCCGCTGAGGAGCCCAGGATCTCAGACAACCAGCCGCGGCCACCAGACCCACAGCCAACGCTTCCATCCCCCGCCCCCCTCCCGACGTCTAGGACGCCCCCGCCGACCCCCTAGCGCGTATTGTAGTTGGAGGGAGACTGACTCGGGTTTGCCGCGGACTCGTGTGTGCTAGACTGTGGTTGCAATTTCTTTTTGCAAAAGGAATTCTTTTTTGCGGGGCCGTAGAATGCCACCCGGTTTCTTTCCTTGAGGCTGGTGGAAGACCTGAGGTGACAACATTGTATTCGTTACTAGGAGGGCCGGGCACTGGGTCGATGTTACTTTGAGGTGTCAGGTAAAGCAGCAGATGTAACCATTGCTTTATTCTGGGACAGCGACCCAAGTTGGAAAGTGAACAATAATTACTTTATGACCCCAAAGAGGAGTCTGTAGAACTTTTTTCCCCTTAAAATGACATGAAGTGGTTCAGCCAGTGGCAGTTTTGTCCTCTTTCTAAAGTCATTTGACCTTTCATGGTATTTCCATTGCAAGACAATGGACTTACTTAGGTTCACTTGTAACAAGTTAACACTGCCTTTTCTATTCCACATATTCTTTGTTTTCAGTGAAGGGCAATTGCCTCTTCTCTGCTTGCCTTCTAAGGGGCTTTTGGTCCACAAATGTCAGGGTGAATGTCAGGGTATGGCTCTGCCTTGTGAACCTGCCCACCTCCGAGGGCTCGGGGTGATGGGAGTGGCAACTGTGCATTGGAGTCAGCTGGGATCCTTTCAAACTTGTCATGTGACTGCTTGTCCCAGATTCTAAGTGCCCCAGCCCTCTCTTAATGAGCGCCTGTTATCAGGGACAGTCCTCAGGGAAGCTAATGAACTCAGATCTCTGGGTGTTCATTGGCTTAGGCCTCTGGAAATACTGGGGATACCCGGGAGCTGATAGTGTTTTAGGGGGGAAGGAAATGACAGGTTGCAGCCAGAAGCACTTCTCTATTCTATTCTTATTGAATTTATTGGGGTGACATTAGTCAATAAAACCATACAGGTGTCTAGTGAAATTTTACCTTTTGCAACAGCGTGTATGGACCTGGAGAGAGAGCATTATGCTAAGTGAAATAAGCCAGTCAGAGAAAGACAAGTACCATATGAACAAAATAAACTGAAAAACAAAATAGAAACAGACTCATAGACACATAGAACAGACTGACAGCTGTGTAGGGGAGGAGGGCTTGGGGGGGGGACTGGGTGAAAAAGGTGAAGGGTTTAAGCAGGGGTAGGGGAACAACCAGAAGCAGTTGTAAATTAGCATTTCTGCTAATTGTCTCCAGCTCTCAGAAGAACTGCTTTTAGATCTCCAGTCATTGGTTGAGATCTTTTTTCATTGTAAATGTAAACCTGTTTTCCTGCCTAAGTTTGCATTTGTAATTTTACATTCCTTTTTAAAAGAATGTAAGCCTTGCCCCATACACCCGGCTCCACCCAGCTTGTCAGTGTTTTATAAGGACCTGGGTCAGACACTGAGAAGAGTGAAGGACCGCCTCTCTAGAAGGTGGCCACACAGATTAAGGTGAGCCGGTAGTGCCGGTGAAAATCAGAAAAGAATGCCTGGAAATTTTTTAATGAGCTTTCCACTGATACTCCAGTGCGCTGAATTTCTCAACCATTAACCACCGGCAGTCAAACAGGCACATTTAAGAAAGCCCTCTCTGTTGGCCTCTCTCTATTTCTGCACAAGCTGCCGCTGGCCGGCCTGGCCCAGCACGGCATGGGGATGACTCCTGGAGACTCTGATGTTGCCCTGTAGTGTGTTCACGCCGATGGCTGTCCTATTCACCATCGTGGTCCCTTATTCCCTTAGATAATTTGTGAGTTTATACCGTGCCCGTGACCAGACAGAGTAGGATCTTTGACTTACGATTACTTCTTTTTACTGCCCCCCCCAGTATAGTAGAAGTACTTGGTAAACACATGTTAAGTGTTTTTGCATACGATGCTGTGCTAATAAGGGTTCTTTGGAAAAGGAGAACTGTGAGATTCCGTTCTTGGAGCCCAGGGGGGAGATGGGGCAGCACTGAAGCCGGCAAACCAATGGAGAGACCTGGAAAGTGCAACAGGCGAGCTTTGTTCTAAGTTTTGGAATCATCCAGTGAGGAGAGATGATGCCCTGCCTCCAGGGACCTCGGGGCGGGTGCAAGGCATTGACCTCAAAGATCAAGTTTTGATGTTGGAAGGTCGGAGCGCGGAACCGATGACTCAAACAACAAAGAAGGTTGAAAATTACGATAGGATAAGACCAGCCTTGGGCCTGGGCAAATGAGAGGGGGCTTGCAAACATCTTAATTAGACCAAGTTGGGGGGGGGGAACCATTGCTGTACATTTAAAGGGAAAAGTTCTCCTTCAGATGAAAAATAATATATTACAATAAATAAATCGACCTTTATCTTTTTACTCAGCGACATGACATGCAGAAGAACTAGTCACTGAAACAGTCACAGCTTTGGCCAGCGGGTCCCAGCGACACCGAGATGCCTCTCTGGCTCTCAGGAGAGGGCAGACCTGATTGCCGGCCTTTCTCGAGGTGTTCGGGGGTGTAAAATGAAATGAGGAAATGAGGTCTCTGTCCTGTAGGGTATTCAGAGACTTTACAGACCTGATTATCCTCATTGCCACTAATCACCTCTGAGAAGTTGTAGAATCCGGGTATGGTGCCCGCAAGCTAGGATAGCTGTCTTTGTAAAAAATAATCGGCAAAAAGGATGTTCCAGACTGTTAGGCTTCATTTCAGTCTCCAGCAAAACTATCGGAGCTACAGAACAATTTAGTCTTTTGTTTATAAACACTTAAAAAAACAAAGAGGTGATCATGTTTTATAAGAATAATGGAAAATTAAGATTGTTTTCATGATTAATCAGAAATATAACAACAAACGTGTGTATTTGAACACAGTTTTGAAAGAGCCTTGTGTTTATGGAAGTAATTATTTTTGAAAGAATAGTAGGATATAGCTGCTGCGGCATCCAGCGCCTGTTGGTGTTGGATCTCGGCCAACCCAGAAATTCAGTGTGCGGGTGCAGAGCTGTGGGGGTGCCATTCAGCAATTCTGTCGAATACTTAGGAGAAAATATTGGAAGTTTGGGTATCGATTTTCCCCATCTGTTCTCTGAACCTTCTCTCCTTACTGTCTGCTGTGTCCCTGTCCTGGTTCTGGCCCCAATGAGAGTCAGAATTCTCTCCAGTGATTCATCCAAATGAAGACAGATAACTCAGGAAGGAGCCATGGAATTCGAGGCCGAGTTCGGGAACAAAGCAGGACTATCCTTGAATGAAGGAGTGGTTTCCTGCCTTGATGCTCTGCTGAGCTATATCAAACACTGTACACACACAGTACACCCATGCATGCACACACACACAGCAAGCATGTACAGTGTGTGCACGTATGAATGCATGCATGAGTGCATATGTGTTGCATGAATATGCAACTGCCCAGGTCACGGCAGAGCAGGCAGGCAGATTCCAGCAGGCAGGGCCTGTGTCCTGCTGCCTTCGCCTGCAGGCTGATGCCGCCTCAGAGGGTCTTAAGAGTGAGGTGGTTAAAAAAGACGAGCCAATGAGGCAAAGGGCTGATCTGGACTATTTGCTATATCCACCCCCCTGCCTCTCACCCCCAGAAGCTCCTCTCTGCTATCACTGGCTTTGGCTACGGTCAGTACTGTTTCCTGTGTCTCTGAGACGGGGGGAGCGGGGGAGGAAGGGGAGAGGAGCAAGGGAAAAAAAGAAAAGTCCTCAGGTTCTGGGTGGAAGTAACACACACGAGGACATTGCAGAACGGGCGGGGGACCTTGTGCAGGGCCGTGGTACGCACACACATCCCTCGTGGTTTTCAGGGACGGAAAGATCGGCTTACACAAAGACGTGATTTTGAGTCTAAACAGACGCCGTCTTTCCAAGGTCACTTGGAGCGTTTGGTGGACTGTAATCGGAACCGTCCCTGTCACTTCTGCGGTCCCTCCACTCTCGAATCTTAAAGGGGAATGGACAGTTCACGGCAGAAGATGGCAGAGGGCTGTCACCTCGTCTGCAGAAGTCAGGGCCCTGGTGGCTGGCCATGGATGCCTGGGCTGCTGCACAGACTGGGACGGAGCCGCGGGTCTGGAGCGGGCTCTGCAGGCGGGGGGCTTGGGCCTCAGCGAGGAGGTGAGGGGCTGCCATCACGGGCCATTGGGAAGGACCCATGCAAAGGGGGTTCACCTGTGTGTCTGGCAGCCAGGGCCTGGGAAGAAAGGCTGGGGAGGAGCACAGGTCTTCTGTGACAAGTTAGGATGGTCCAGGTGGATTAAATGGATGTTTGCAGGCACAACTAGAACCACTAGGTCAAACATACGTTAAAGTCCACGTTGTCGGTCCATTTCAGGAAGGCTTTTCTAGTGGAAGGTCCAGCATGAAAGGGATCACTCATCACGGTCATGAATTCTGTCGCTAGGAATGTTCTAGTACAAGTTGCATGAGTAACTGTCCCAGCAAAGAGGGCGGCGCGATGGTTGGACTGTCCCTCCTACATAAAGAAGCTGTCACAAATGCAGTTTTAACCTACTAAATTGAACTCCCGGAGCAATGGA